TAATGGGCTGCTGCCAAGACTATACTGAGCGCACTGACTCAGTTCCTGGGGCCGGGAAGACTTCGATCATGCAGAAATGTTGGGCTCTTGAGATGGCGCTTGAGGGGAGTTGCGGTCTAGGTGCTTGTTCTTAGTACTCTACGTAACCTTTAACCTTTTTGGGTTAATATGTTCCCCTTAAAATCCCAAAGGTTAACCTTTAAAACCCCCAGGTACTGGACAACTAAGTGTTCCCAAACTGACTGATTTCAGACACCCGAGTAGCAAGTGTTCATGCTCATGGCTTTCTGTCGGCGTTGTCAGCGTCTGCAACCCGGGATTTGCTTAAGAACCGCCAAAAAATTATATAAACAGAATCCGACTTTAGTTGATCAGGCTTTTGGTTTTCCCGGAACCCAACGTGCCATATTGCTCTGAACCGAACAAGCCACGAAACCCGAACACCTAAACCCTATAAGTTTGGGGGTTTAAGGTTTAGGGTTTAGGGCTAGACCCTAAACTCTAAACGTTTGAACCCGCGGCTTGGGCTTTGCCCCAGAAATCAGGGTGGCCTCGAGGCTTGTTGTTTTGTAAGCACACTGCCGGGTTTGGGGCATGTCAGGCCAAGGGCCCCTACACCCCTCTGGTGTTTAGGGTTTAGGGTTTAGGGTTTAGGGTTTAGGGCTGCGCAGAAGTGGAGTCCTGGAGGCCCTAAGCAACAGCCTCGCGAAAGCCAGGCGGACAAGTGCAACGCAGCAATTGCCTCGTCTCTTCTCGCACTCTGCTTCCTGGTGCCTCGGCAGAAATCCTGAGCTTTCAACCCTCAACCCTGCTGCAGGGCTTAGGGTTTTGGTTTGGAGTTCAGGGTTCAGGGTTCAGGGTTTAGGGTTTAGGTTTAGGGACCCTCAACTTTGGGTTCGCGTTTGAGTGCTTAAGGAGCTTTGGCTTTGGGGTGTAGGGAGTGGGGTCTACAGACTCATCCCCCGAACCCCAGAAAGCCCTCTAAACAAGCCCTAAACCCTAAACCCTAAACCCTAAACCCTAAGCCCTAAACCCTAAACCCTAAACCCTAAACCACCTAAAGTCAAGGGACTCCAGGAAGGGCCCTTACCTTGGGAGCTCTTGTCGGGGTTATTTAGGGCCACTTAGGTATACAGGGACTGTATAAGGTATCTAGAGGGGCTTAGGTTTAGGGATGGTTTAGGGTTTAGGGTAAGGGCCCCTTCTAGGGGTCTCTCCTTATACCCCTAAATAAAGCCCCCAAAGTCGCCCTCCCTTCAACAAATGAGGGTTTAGGGTTAAGATTAAGGGCCCTAACCCCTAAACCCTAAGCCCTTCTAGGGGTCCCTCCTTCTACCCCTTCATAAAGCCCCCAAAGTCTACAGCCGAAACTCAGAGCAGCCCTCTGGACTCCCTTCAACCAATGTCGGTTTGGGGCTTAGGGTTTAGGACTTAGGGCTTAGGGCTTAGGGCTTAGGGTTTAGGACTTTAGTTCTTTAGGGTTTAGGGTTTGAGGGTTGGTTTTGAAATCCTGCAAGCCGCTATCCCGCTAAAAGGGTGGGTAGGGGGGGCCGGCGGTCTTCTTTGGGAGTTGACAAGGTTTAGGGTTTAGTGCCAGGGTTTAGGGTTTAGGGTTTACGGTTTACGCAAACCCCTTCATAACAGGCCCAAGCAGAACACCTCAAACCCACTGGACCTCCCTGCAAAAATCCCTCAACGGCTAAGCGGCCCAGCCCTAACCCTTAAAAGGTTCAGCTACGAAAGCCCTAGACCCCTACGTGGCATGGACCTTTATGTATTATTTGGCAATCCCTTCTGTTTTTATTTAGTAGGCATTGTGACAGACTTCAAGCGCAAGTGTTTCTGCAAGAGCTTCTGCATTTCCATGAAACGGAAAGCCCGTAAACCCACACAGTTGCCGACTTTAGATGATGCGCAAGGGAGCGTGCCGGTTCGAAGAACCGCGAGCTCAGGCAAGACACGGCGGCAGAGGCGCGAACCCTGGTGGCAGCAGAAGCCATGCTGCGCTTGATCGCCAAGGTGAGTCGGTTGCTAGGGATAACGTCACCTTCCTGGTTGGTCGCCGCCTCGGGCCATATGACCTCAGGTGGCCGACGGCTGTGTGTCTTCGTGGGCGCTAGCGTGTCACTCTTCCTCCTGAGGTTAAGAGCTCACCACAAAGCACTGATCATTGCTGTCGCTGGACATGCCGATGCACTCATGTCGGCGTCTCATAAAGAAACCAATCATGATGGTTTGTGAAGAACACCAGTCGCAATCACACAGACATGATAACCCTCCTTGCAACTACACTGTCGTCGCATCAAATTGTATCAAGAAGAGGAAGGATGACAGCAACAATGCGACGGCTGATCCAGGTCGATTTTCTGCAAGGCAATGCCGTCGTCTTCCAATCGGAGAAGCACGCCGCAACAGCAGAATAAGGCTGAACTGGACGATACATGTTTCACATCTGAACTTCTAGCTTTCCAGCTCGCCTCGCATTGCAAATCATGGCACCGCGGATGCCGCGCGCGAAGCAGGCACCTCGCACCAAGCAGGCAGCTTTGCTTGAACTTGACTGCTTCATGTCTTCTTCATCTCAAGACTCGTAATGTGCCTGCGGCGAGTCAGATAGGTCAACAAGAAGACGAAGTGAAGTGTCCAGATCCTATGCCAAGATGTGTTGGGCGCAAGAGCACCCTTGGTCATGACTTTGTTGGGGAGGGGATAAGGGGTGGAGCTGAGGCTGCCAACAC